GTCTTCCATGAAGGCTCCGTCACGCCTGAGTACAGCCCAGAGGAAACGGGTCTTGGTGTGACAGTGGTAGATGATCACCCCACACCACGGTGTGAAGGGCAGGGCCAGCTCAGCAGGTCCAGGGAACACCCAGGACACACAGGCCTTGGACTTTCCTGTAAAACCCCTCTGCCTGTCAGCAGTGAGTCAGGGAGCTGTCCAAAGGTGCACACAGCCTGGAAATGGCCTCCAGCAATGGGCGCTGGGAGGCCCTGCTCTAGGGGCACCAGGTGGGCAGTGGCCATTGTGCACAACTGTCTTCTCCCACATCAAATGGGTGTCACAGTGGGGGAGAGATTTGAAGTGAAATCTGACTTTGTTTTGTTCTTTAGAGACAGGGGTTCTCTGTGGCTTTGGAAGCTGTCCTGGAACTCGATCTTGTAGACCAGACTGGGAGGCAGAGGCAGGCGGATCGCTGTGAGTTCGAGGCCGGGCTGGACCGATAGCCTCCAAAACAATACAGAGAAACCCTGTCTCGTAAAAAAACAAAACAAAACAAGATTTATTTATTATGTATACAGCATTCTCCTTGCATGTATGCCTGCACATCAGACAGGGCACCAGATCTCATTATAGATGGTTGTGAGCCACCATGTGGTTGCTGGGAATTGAACTCAGGACCTCTGGAAGAGCAGTCAGTGCTCTTAACCTCTGAGACATCTCTCCAGTCCCTTTAATTTTACTTTTAAATTTTATTTAAAATGGAAGCTGGGTGTGGTGGCTCGTCTTTAGGGAGGCAGAGGCAGGCGGATCTCTGTGAGTTCGAGGCCAGCCTGGTCTACAGAGTGAGTTCCAGGACAGCCGGGGCCACACAGAGAAACCCTGTCTCAATACTCCTCTTCCCAAAAAAAGGACGTGGAGGGGCTTACGTGACTGACAGAATTCGACCGGTCTCCAGGCCTCTCTCCATATGTAGCTCTCTCAACTCAGAGTGGTCTCTCAGCATTAGACAGGACTCCACTGATACTACTGCAGGAGTTTATGCACACTGGGCATGACGAGAACCACTTCATCTTTCTACTCATTTGAATGTTAGTAACCGCTCTGTCCGGTCACACACCTGACCCGAGGCTGAGGTGAACTTTAAACCCAGGCCATCGGCTGTGAAACCAACTCTCCACTGTGCTGGGAATTGATGGGTGACGGGCGTGTGCTACTAGACCCAGCTGGAGCCTTTCTTCTAGAAGGTTCCTCGTATCTGGGATACCAAGCCACATCTCTAAGTTACAGCAGACCACAGGATATTGACCTTCAATGTATGCTCAAGAGCAGAGGCATGGGCTCCTGCAAGAGCAGATTATCTTAAACCAGGGATGATATCGCCAACTGTTTGGTAATATCTAGACACATCTGTGGCTGTTACAAGTGGGAGCAGGAAGCATGGGTGCTGCTTAGGGGCTTGCAAAGGATGACTCTCTGAGAAAGAACTATCTGGCCAAGATGTCAGCGACGGCAAAGTCGGAAGTTCTTGCTTCAGATCCCCCAGAACACTGGATGTGGGGGAAAGGCTCCAGGGAGCTAGAGGCAGGCTGTATCAGGAAGGGTTATGAGAAATAAATCTTCAGGCCAGGTAGATTTTTACTATCTTCCTTGTTGTGATTAAAAACCAGACATTCTAGCTGTAGACAAGTCAGAGACCCTCCTGACATTTCAGGGTGTCCTCTGGGACTCTCCTGGCCACTCTCAATTCTGAAGACTGGGGTTCCCACTGTCTTTGCCAGTTAGCACATTTCAGATACTGGGGTCTCTGGTTAGGGGTAGCCAGCTGTTGACTCTGAAATCCAAAATGTGCCTGGTCCCAAGCATTCTGGGTAAGGGATCCTCAGCCTTCCCCACTTACCAATGGGGAAGGGGGAGGATACACTACAGGAATGTGGCTGCTTTATTTCCTGTCCTGTACCTTGTATAACCATCCGTGTGTCTGTGTGGGACTCTGTTGCACAGATGGTCCCTGTACTGGCTTGTTTTTTCTTGTTTTTCGAGACAGCATTTCTTTGTGTAACCTTTATTTGCTTGCTTTTCGAGACAAGGTTTCTCTGTGTAACTTGGGAGGCAGAGGCAGAGGCAGGGGGATCTCTGCGAGTTCGAGACCAGCCTGGTCTACAGAGTGAGTTCCAGGACAACCAGAGCTGTTAGAGAAATCCTGTCTCAAAAAAACAAAACAAAACAAAAAAAGATAACAAGCCAGTAAGCAGCACCCTCCATGGCCCCTGCATCAGCTCCTGCCTCCAGATCCTGCCCTGACTTCCTTCAGTGAGGAACAGCAATGCTGAAGCATAAGCTACTTGCTTTTTGGCCATGGGGTTTCATCGCAGCAATAGAAACCCTAGCTAAAATAACCTCTTAGGCGTCTCCAGCGCCTTCTATTAGGGAGAATGTGGCACTCAGTAGCTGTTTGTGCCCTTGTGAGAACTTCTGGATGTGTAGCGGTTAGGTGCAGTGGGTATGCCTATATTAAAACACACGTAGATTGTTAGACTGGAAAGGACCCCCTTCCCCTAATTCTTTGCATTATTTGTTAACTGAGTCCCGGTTAGCAGACTGTAGAGAAGTGAAGTCACCAGGAGGGAAATACTGACTGCAGGTACAGGGACCTGCTGGTTGTACTCTAGTCTTTTGATAGTCTATGGTATTAGCAAATGTCAATATAAACACTAAGCAGACTAATTACAACTGTCTCCTGTCTTGCCAATGATGGTGAACCTGGTGAAGCTGATACAAAAAACTAGATACAAAAATCTCAAAGTTTCTGAAAAGTGGGAAGTTACACAGTTAACAGTAAGGGAGGTGTAGGTGGGTATTACCACGTGTTGGCGGATGACAGGCAATCAGGTATTCTTACATTCTTTGTGTCTACGTGTTTGAGTTCATGCAGGTGTGCACGTCCTCAGGCACCATCCACACTTCATTTAAAGCATATGGGTATTTGTCTGCATGTACGTCTGTGTCCCTGATGCTACAGGCTAGAATGGGCGTCAGATTGCTTGGAACTGGAGTTCCACTTGTGAGCTGCCATGAAGGTGCTGGGAATTGAACCCCGGGTCCTCTGCAAAAGCAGCCAGTGTGCTTAACTGCTGAGCCAGATCTCTAGGCCCCACGGTTTTTGATGCAGTTTCTCCCTGTCCTGAGGAAGACTATAGTGGCTGACCATCGAGCCTGAGATCTGCCAGTCTGGGGTTGAGGGTCTATGGGACCACACATAGATATCTGCACAAGGATCTGGGGATTGAACCCGGTGCTTCTGGCTTGCAAGGCAACCTCTCTGCGGACAGAGCCATCTCCCCAACCCACCCATTGCCTTTACAAAAGTTCCCTCTGCGATCACGTTGCAAAATACAAATGAGGGCATTGAAAGACACTAAGTGTTTCATTTGAAAACTGAACACTGTGATCATTCTTTGTTCATGGGTATAGGTTGGAAATTAAGAACCCACTTTTGTTAGCTATTTGGAGCATAACGGTAGCAACCCCCCTAAGAGTGCATTCACCTGAGTTTACGGGACAGATCTCCCTGGTCTAAGCAGACCCTTCCATAGCCCCAGGAGAGTTTGGTCCAGAGCTGTTAGTCCCAAAAGTTGTCTTAATTTTTTATTACATTTAAAAATTCTAAGTGTGGAGGCCAGAGGACAACTTGAGAGTTGGTTCTTGGCTGGGCGTTGGTGGCGCGCGCCTTTAATCCCTACATCTGGGAGGCAGAGGCAGGCGGATCTCTGTGAGTTCGAGGCCAGCCTGGTTTACAGAGCGAGTTCCAGGACAGACTTCAAAGCTACACAGGGAAACCCTGTCTTGAAAAACCAAAGAGTTGGTTCTCCTTCGACTATGTGGGTCCCTAGGACTGAATTTAGGTTGTCAGGCTTGGCGTCAAGCCACTTCACTCCCTAAGACATCTTGCCAGCCCAGCTGGCAAGTTTTTAGCAGTGCTACCCACCCTAGCATGCTGGCTGAAGCCACCTTCTCTCATCTTGGAGGGGAGACAGAGGAAAAGGAGGCGGCGCCCAACATGGGGCAGCCCACACCAGTGACTAGTGCCATTTGACTACTGATCTCTTCCCAGCTGGCAGCCAGAGACTGGTCGTCATGGACAAGAAGCCCAGCTGTGTGTGTGCCTGCTTCACTGTCCCCCAGGAGGGCCGGAGACCCATACCAGCAAAGATCCTGAGAACCTGGCCTTATAATCCCATGATGCAGCTCAGTAGTTTTGAAGAGCATTTTCCGGGACACAAAGATAGCAGAGTCAAACTGATGCATATAGGCACACACCCAGCCTTCTCCCTGGCAATCTTAAGATAAAAATATGTAGCATATAGACAGTCTTAGAATGTTTACTCAGAAAACAACCTAAAGTTCATTTTATAAAAGTGGTCAGTAACCCTGACAAGGGTCAAACATTAACCTCTGGTCTCTGTCCCAACTATTTCAATTGTCACCTCAGCAAGAAAGTCACAGGGACATGTAACAAACTGTGGGTAGAGCCCGATCAAATGTTATTTTTGGCCACTGGGATTCAAATTGTACATTGGTTCATGAACACTACAAAAAATATTCTTGCCTGGCGTTGGTGGCGCACGCCTTTAACCCCAGCACTCAGGAGGCAGAGGCAGGCGGATCTCTGAGTTGGAGGCCAGCCTGGTCTACAGAACAAGTGCCAGGATAGGCTCCAAAGCTACATAGAGAAACCCTGTCTCAAGCAAAAACAAAAACAAAACAAACCTTTTGACCTTTCAATCATTTAAAATTGCAAGAATCATCCATTGGAGACTGCACAAAAACAGGTGTTGTCTGCCCAGGCCAGGCCACTCTTACCATGCTGTTTTGCTCTGTGTGTTAACTCACTCACAGGGCAGATCAGACTCTACCACAGCGCAACTAAACAGCCCTGTAAAGGGTCTGTCAGAAACGTATGCCAGGCCATGCTGAAAACACAACAATGAAGAGGAACAGAATGAACTTGAGAAACCAACTGAATTTGAAAAATAGGCTTTATTTTAACCAGTGGTGTTGTCTGACATCCTATGGCATACAGGCCTACAGCCAAGTTCATGAACACAAACAAAACAGCAGTTCCCTTATTCCCTTGTCTGCTGATAGAGAAACTGGGAGATGGCAGCATTTCGCTGTGGATGCTGGGAGCTCTTCTGTCAGCTCCGTGAGTCCAGGCCCTGGAGCAGGGCCTCTTAACACAGCATGGTCACATGTGCAAAGACAACTTCAATAAAGTAAGTAATCCGAGCAGAATCTTGTTGGAAATTACACTTGCCTTCATAACCAGACATGGCCACTAGAATGCATCTTGCTGGGGTGGTGGTGAGCTCAATTGCATACTGAGGTGGTAAGGCCTGGCCAGTCTGCATCCTTCTGGGCTCCAGATGATGCAGGGTCCTACCCTTCCCACCAGGACCCTGACCTGATAGAGAATGGAGACACCTTCACCTAAATACAAGACCTGTCACGGCCAACACTGGAATTGGCTTTTCATTTTCTTACTACACAAAAGGCTTAAATATATAGGTCCTCATACAGCACAAAGTGCCCGAAATCCAGGAAACTATGCAAACATTTCTTCACCCTGAGGATTTCATCTTTATAAAGGTGAAAATACAAAACATTAAAATAATTTGCCCTTTCTTCCCATCAGAAGGAATCACATTCTCCAAGAATTCCTACAACACACAAAATCCCAAGACAAAGTTGATATCTCCCCAGACAACCCCAAGATGGAGAACCAGTCAGTGCCAAGCTGCCGGGAGGACCCTTCTGCGCATGGGCGACGCTGGAGCCTGCCTCGTTTTGTTCTTGACAACCCTATTTTGAGAAAGACAGAAGGGAGTCCCGGCCTCACGAGCCTTTGTTCCTCACTTTGGTTCAGCGTTCCTTAGCTGGTTATTACAAGTGAGGAGAGCATGATTTCCAGAGCTGGGGACATTCTCAGGAGAGGCCTCTCTTCCCCCGAATGATGGCAGTCAGATGGCAAGAGTTCAGGTGCTCTCAGTCCTGTGTCTCCTCGCACAAGCACCTGGAGGGTCAGCTGTGTTCAACACAAAGCAGCGCTGGGGTGAGGAGGCAGTAGCGTGCCCACGGCACCAGCTGAGGCAAGGTGGACGGGAACTGCCAGGAAGTCCCTCCATGCCCGGCAGTCCCAGGGCTTCCCGAAGAGGACAGACTAGGAAGGGACCGTGGAAGCTCCAAGAGCGCGGCATGCAAGCACACCTGCACTCTGCCAGGTGGGAGGGGCACACGGGAAGCGGCCGACAGCAGGAACCTGCGCCTGCTCCTGGGGACCTCTGCACTGAGGTGAAGGGTAAGCATAGATTCCGCTCGCTCCTAGGAGAGGGAGGGCGGTCACACACACACACATACATGCTCCTGCGCGTACACACACGCACACGCACACACACGAGGCCTCCTTGAAGGCTGCCTAATTTCTCTCCCAGCTCACCAGTGGCTGCCCACCAGCCCTGTGCACTCACCGGGTTCAGAGCTGCGGTTCTCTGCCTATGCGTCCTTCTCTGTTTAAGGCACAAACAGACTGACGGCTTTGAGCACACCGGTCAGGCTCTGAGGACCATCAGCAAGCCAGTCACAGGCTAGAGCTCGGGAGCCGGTTGGTCCTTTCCGGCCGTATGCATGACTGGGGGATGGCCTGTCTGTACCACTGAGGTGTGTGGTAAAGGCTGGGCCACAGCAGAAGCCAGAGTGGCAAAAGTGTAACCAGGAGCAGGGATGCCGACTACTTCTTACTTTGCACTTAGCATATCCCTAACAAGACAGCAGGTCCCATACGCCTGCGCAGACGCCGAGAAAGCGGGCAGAGGCTGCCACGGGGCACACACCACTCGCTGAAGTCACTGCGAGCAGTGACTTCCAGTCACAAAGTCAGACACACAGACAGACAGACACACACACACACAAACACAACGCGTGTACATGCACCCCCTTCCACCATGAAGGAATCTTTCAACAAGAGGCACTTGAATGATATTTGGAGAGTTTCCACGAGAAGGCCTTCCCCTCACAGTGAAGTGGATCACACAGCAGAGACCAGGTGCTCAGGACTCCATTTCTTCTTGGTCAAGGGGTGGTGGCTCGAAGCTGATGACCTCGTCGTAGGTCAGGCCTAAGACAGGGAAGAGCAGTGAGGTGTGACACTGGCGACTGCTGTGTGTGCCTGCAGCACCGTCACTGCCCAGAGCAGTGTGCATCCCCACTGCAGTGGAAGACAGTCCTGCTCTGGGCTCTAGCTGAAGAGCTGACCTTGTGACTTACGAAGGAGTCGGACACTGGACATACTGGACACGGGAGTTGGGACTCCATTCCAGGTAACACCCAACAAGGCCAACGGCAAACTATAAAACCTCAATTGGGAAACTGAAAACACACTGGACCCTACTGTACATGCACCCCAGCCCCCAAAGCCTCAAAGCTCTCTGTCAATGTGAAGAGCTGTGTACTGTGAGCGCGCATCTACACATTCCATCAGGGAACTTGTGCCCCAAAGACTTTGGCTGTAACTTTAGTGAGCTGGTAGGAATCGTTCACAAGGGTTTTACTGAGACAGACTCTCATATATATAGCCCAGGCTGGCCTCAAGCTACCTATGTTGCTGTGAACGACATTAAACTCTTTTTTTTTTTTTTTTTTTTTTGGTTTTTCGAGACAGGGTTTCTCTGTATTGCTTTGGAGGCTGTCCTGGAACTCACTCTGTAGACCAGGCTGGCCTCGAACTCACAGAGATCCGCCTGCCTCTGCCTCCCGAGTGCTGGGACTAAAGGCATGAGCCACCAACGCCCAGCGATGATTCCTTATTTTTCCCAAGTCTTTTGATTAGTGAGAATCACCCAGAAAAGATTTTTTGTTTTGTTTTGTTTTTTTGAGACAGGGTTTCTCTATATAACAGGCCTGGCTCTCTCTGGCTCTCCTGAAACTTGCTTTTTAGACCAGGCTGGCCTCGAACTCACTGAGATCCACCTGCCTCTGACTCCCAAGTGCTAGGAATAAAGGCGTGTGCCACCACTGCACAGCCCAGAAAATATTTTTTAAAATAAGCTCTTGGGCTGTGCCAAACAGGAATAGACAGAACCAGGTTCCCGAGACACACCCTAGGCCACTCTGAACTTACTTTTCCACTCATCTATAAGGAGATCCCTGCTTTCAAAGGACTGGTCATAAGGGTCGGCCACAGGCTCGTCGTCAGGGTCGTGGTACTGGGCAAAGTAGGCATGCGCAAGTGCTTGGGCCGCTGTGATCCTCTTGTCCGAGTCCAAAACGAGCATCTTTTCCAGCAGGTCCACAGCTGTCACACAAGAGGACAATGACATCAGCACCACTACCATGCAAGCTCCACGGTTCTGTCATAGTCAAACAGAGTCTTCGAGGTGCACGTGTGTGAATGTAGCCAGCACATTTTAAGAACATTACTGGGCTGGGCAGGTGTAGAGTACTTCCCTAACCATTCTTGAGGTCTGGGTTTGAGACCTAGAACAATAAACAAAACCAACTAAAAGAAAAATAAAACAAACAAACAAAACACTTGGGCTGGGCAAGGTGGTATACTCTAATCCCAGCACTCAGGAGGCAGAGGAAGGTGGATCTCTCTAAGTTCAAGGCCAGTCTGGTCTACAGGGTGAGTTCCTAAGACAGCCAGGGCTACATAGTGAGACCCTGTCTCAAAAAACTCAAACAAAACAACAACAACAAAACACTCCAAATGAACAAAAACAAAACAAAACCTACTCCCCAAACCAGGCTGTGAGCAAAGTTTTCTTCAGCATCAGCGCCATTCTGTGATGACTGAATCGAACTGTACGGAATGGAGGCCGCCTATGGCCAAAGCAACGGAGGCCGACGGGTGAGACCATCTATGAGGCAGGCAGTTTGACTGACGGCTTCTGTTCATTTTTTTTTTGCCCCTTCCCTACACTACTTATATCAGTATTATATACTAACATAAATATTCATCCAGAATGTCAAACAATTAGCAAATTGAAGGCTTCCCAGAAGGTCACAGAAGAAAAGGTACTTGATGAAGGGATCTATCTAATCCTTAAGACTCACTGTGAGACTTTAGAATACAGAAACATCAGGGGCACCCATGCCCCATACAAGGGCATCAATCTGTCCACATCTGACATTATTTTCCCCATTATTTCTGTGTTGGTCCTGTGTTGTTGTAGGATTATTGCTGTTTGTGGTAAAACGTCTCCAACTATATCACAGTTGTCTCCCACAACATATGTGTTCACACCAGGACTCACTTATGGGACTCTCCCTTCTCTAGCTAGTCCAGGCTGACCTCAGACTTGCTATGTTGAACTCATCTTCCTCAACACTGGGATACGCAGGCTGTATCACCAGCCTTCCTTCTCTGAGGCCACTCCCGATGTGTGGCAGACAGCCATCGTGACAGGCTTCCACTGCTTCTCTGAGCCCTGATGTACCACCCTCCGACTCTCCTCTATTCTCTACATTTATCAAAAACCAGAATTAGACCCAAGTCTTTGGTAGGAATGACGTCAGGCACACTGGGCAAGAGCACATCCCAGGTGATGTTCTGAACTGGCGGGGCACAACAGCCGCCAGCCCCACTGCCAGCGGAGCCAACGGTGACTGCATCTTGAGCTCTCTCCCCTGTCTCCCCAGCCGAGTAATCTGGCTCCCGGTTTTAGCATTACTGATTTTTTTCTCCCCAGGGCGAGGACCTCATTAGAGACTGAGGAACAGAGCTGTCTAATTCTGAGGATGCTCTGCTTGGGTGACGCCATCCTCAGCAGTTATCACGACAGAAAGGCTCTCCAGACAGACCCAAGGTTCTTTCTATGTGCACTGCAGTGCATGCCTGCTGGTTGAGGCCAGGGAAGGCCACTCAGGCCCCTGGAAGAGTCATGTCTCCAGCCCCAGATAATTTCTTAACAGGGGAAGGCTGTTGCTGAGGAAGAAGAGAACTTCCTGAAGAGACGATGACCCCCTGCTTCTCAGAGTGGTCATGCATCCTGCAGCCTCAACTCCAGAGTCATCCATAGAAACACAGGCTTTGGGAGCACAGAGGAAACAGCACATATACGTGCCTTAGCCCAGACTCACAAGTTTACGTCACACTTTGCAGAGGGGCTGGGATGTAGCTCGTAGAGTTGCTTGTCAAGTGTGTACAAGGCTTTTCACACCCAGCAGTGCACACTCCGGGCATGGTGGCGCACACCTGTAGTGCCAGCACTTTGGGGGTGGGGAGTAGAGGGTCATCGGACAGGCCACGTGACGTGTCTTCGACAACACTGAAGCACTGGCTGAACTGGATAGACATTCTTCACACGTTCGTCTACACATCTGTTGATTTCATACTGAACACAAATGGGCGGGGCCTGCAACCCTACAGTAACCAACGCACTTAGATGAGAACAAGAAAAAGGCATCTCAAGGATCTTGACAGACATGACACTAAGATCAAAGGACAGTGAGTCTCAGGGGTTTGGAAAACAGCACTGATGCGAAGCCAGTGACTGACAACAGGGCTGTTAATGTTTACATCGCTGCTGTGTGCTTCAGCCTAGCAATGGGTCACAGCGTGTTTCCTCTGCCACCAGCACTTGGCAGTGGGCCGTGAGGCGTGTTTGGATTGAGCGGGCTGTGCTGGGCACCAGATTTTACTCCCCAGCAGTCTGGACTGACTCCTGGGAGCTGGTTCTCGTCAGTGCTTAAATGGAGACATATATCAGGACGTGTGTGACTTCAAAGGCAGAAGAAATCCTTTAGAGGCAGATAAGAGGGAGTCAAACAGTAGGCACAGCGCATCTGAAATGTGGGGTGCTGGGGTGGCCTCGCTCTCCACCCCCTAACATCTGGAGCGCTTACAGATTACACCTCATACACCCCTACCTAGATGCTGTAGCCCAAGCACGTCACAGAAGGCCCAGTGAGAACATGCCAGGGAGGCTGCAGACCCAATCCCACCCCTCAGTACCCTGCACGTCTGAGGCCAGTGATGTAGCTTAGGCTGAACTCACTCCTCCAAGAGTGAAGCACCTCTCTGCTATAGGATCACCACAGTCACTTTTCTGCACTGTGGCTATAGATGACATTCTTGAAAGGGAAACAGCACCTGCCTATCCCACCGTCTGAAGCCACTGCCATGGCCATCAGCTCTCCAAAGGCAACAACTAACTCTAGTGCATGGCTTCTGGAACCTCCAGAAAGGGATATGACCCACTCAGAAAGTGTGATTTGAAAACAGCCTCACAATAACATCTGCAGGAATGTGAAGAGGCGGAGCACACCAGCTGCCATACCCGCTCCCTCCCTCCTACCGCAGGAGACTGGGGTCTGGCCCTTCTGGCTCCACTACCACTACTACACCGTCCCAGAATAAGGAACCAGAGCCACTGCAGCAAACTGTCCTGGGGCCATCGGAAGCATGGTTTAGCCCCCATCATTAAGAACACATTTTTTTAAAGATTTGTTTATTTTATGTGCATGTGTGTCTGTGTGAGAGTGCCAGATCACCTGGATGTTACAGACAGTTGTGACCTGTCACGTGGGTGCTGGGAACTGAACCTGGGTCCTTTGAAGAACAGCCAGTGCTCTTAACCACTAAGCCACCTCTCCAGTTCCCCAACAAACAAACATTCTTAGCTACCATTGTCACTTCATTTGCTAGGGGGTCCTAGAGGTGCTGGGGGCAAGAAGGAAATGAGGTATCCCCGAAGTCTGAGATGACAAAGAAACCGTGCAAAGGTGGAGGTCTGTCAGCGTGGAGGGCAAAGCACCCAGGAAGGGCCATCTGTGCTTCTGCACTGTCCTCAGCTGGGCACACGCATCACCAGGAGCTGCGGGGACCATGGCTTGCTAGGCCTCCTCCCTTCCTCCCCAAGCTCCCACAACTTCCTACTGCTTTCCTCCTCTGCTGCACTGTCCTGTCCACCACCACGCTCCATGACCCTATCAATGTGCCAGCCCACCCATCGAACGATTTTTGTTAAATATGACAGACAGTACAGACAGATTTACTAAGACCCAAAACATACTTACAGAACAAAACTTCAAGTCCCCAATCTATATCACACAATGAACACGATCAACTTACCCAGGGGGTTGGCGCCAATAAACACGTTTGCAAAGTTCATCTTCGGCATCTGGGCCAGGGACTGAATGTAGTTTCTTGCCTGTGAAAACAAGGACTTTCAGAATGACTGCTCAGCAGCATTACCGCTCACAGGGTGTAGGCAGCCCAGTGGCTTCACTGAGGCCTGCCCCATTCGGGTGTGGACCACTGTCTCAGATACGAATGCCAGACTTACTCTTCCAGGCCCTCAACGCCTCTATTTGTGACACTGATGTTAGCCTTGCTGTCTCCCCCAGTTCTGTTCATGTGGGCGAGACTGCTAACCAATCAACTATCCTTCCATTAGTTTTCTGATCACAGGGTCAGAAGTTTGAAAACAGAACCGAGATTTCTAGGAAGCCGTCTTCCTAATCAGCTAAGTTTAAAGAGGAGGTGGCCCTGTAGCAGACATTCACCGTAATGTAATCTGGAAAGTTACAGGAACAAGTACACATGGCTGTAACCATGCAGACCAGAAGGAGGAATGGAAGGAAGAGAGGCAAGAAGACCCATCTCAGCCAGAGAAGCCATCCTTCAATATAAACAAGCACACGGAGTTAGGGCTGAAATGCAAACAAAGCTGTTTGCTAACCTAGTTTCCAAAAATACTAAGGGTCCATCAGAAGTACCCACGTCAGCTCCGATTATAAACTGGAGTTAGGTTAAACAGTATGAACTGAGGAACCTGAATCTTACCAAATGCTCATATTTATTATGAATTGCTTGTGTCTTTCTACAGCACACCAATCAGCATAAGGTATTTTATTGTGTGTGCTGCACACAATCCTCTCTTGGTCATTAAAAACGGACGGATAGGAAAGCACGCTAATGGACTCTGCTCCATGCACCTGTGACGAAACTGTCGCACATCCTAGCTATACACACCTGCAAAGACACACGGTGCCTCGAGCACAAGACTCAGAAACCAAATATCAAGGGAGCATTGCCCCTGCTTACAAGCCTACGCTGTATCGTTGCCTCAGTCTGCATGACATTTTATCCCAAATGTCAATACCCTGCTAGCACACAGCAGTCACTGCCCCAGCAGTCCTTGGGGCACACGCAAGCATCTGGTGACATTAGAAACTGCCAGTTATACACAGACACTACAGTGAGGAGGTGGCCTCCGAGTTAGACCTCCCTGAATGTGCTATTTGTTCTCACCTCATGGCTTGGCATCCTGTTAATGAGATAAGCAGGGGGTGTCCCCGTCAGACGCATTATCTGCTGAAGCTGGTTAATATCTTAGATGCCTAGTCAAGGGTATTGTTAAACACACAGTGCAAAAATCAACTCAAGCTGTGGTTTTTGTTCTTAAAGTCAGAAAGTCATCCCCACACAAAACAACTCCATTTCCCACCTAGCCCAGGCCATTTGTTGGAGAATAGCAGGAGCTATTAGGCATTTAGCCAGTGAGTGGCCATGCAGGCACGAAAGCTAGCTTTCTCCTAAGGGTCAATTTTAATGTTAAATAGTTCCCTGGAAGCAAACTGCTCCTTGACCCAGAATGCCAGCCAGAGAACTGTTTTCAAGTACCAATAGCCAAACAAGTTTGCCATAGTGGCAAATACAGAAGATGGAGTCAATGGTGACTAAACTCTGGAAAACTAAAATATTCAATAGATCTACCTGAGGAAGAGGCTGAGTACTGGTGGCACAGGCTCTCTAGGAGTCACACTCCTAAAGTCAAAGACACCAGCAATGGTACACTTAAAATGCATGCCTCAGCTGGGCAGTGGAGGCACACGCCTTTAATCCCAGCATCTGGGAGGCAGAGGCAGTTAAGTCTCTGTGAGTTCGAGGTCAGCCTGGTCTACAGAGTGAGTTCCAGGACAACCAGGGCTATACAGAGAAACCATGTTTCATTAAAAGAAAAAAAAAAGCATGCTATAAACATGTAGGTAGGTGAAGAAGGTATATTAGGAAGCTGATGGCAAAAGCAAAACAGAAGCCACAGGCTGATGACAAATGTCAGAGCATGCCACAATTATCCCATACTTATGAATGAACACATTAACTTCAATGAACAGAAAATTCCAACTGGTGTGTTTATCTAACAGGGACAAAATGTTCCTCCCTTACTACATTTTTACGTGTGTGTGTGTGTGTGTGTGTGTGTGTGTGTGTGTGTGTGTGTGTGGAGGGCAGGGCACACATACCACTCATGCATGCAGGCCAGAGGCCTCCAAGTAGTAGCAGTTAATTCTCTCCTCCTACCTTGTCGGTCCTAGGAGTCAATTCAGGTTCCTTTGCTTCTGAGCCATCTCAGTGCCTTGTTCACACAACCGGTCAACTTTAAACTTCCTTTCACCATGATGATCAAAGCAACACAATCCACCAGTTATAGGTACAGCTTCTAAGATGCAAGAAGCCGCCGCCAGCTTATCACACGCTTCCTCTCCAAGCAGAAGCGATTATAGTATTTTATTTAACACGCGTTAGTGAGCTTCCTTTCCATTCTCTCAAGTATCAAATCCTTCCTTCAGCTCAAGTCTCATCTTTAGTAAACACCAAGCCAAATAACGTCACTCCTTTGTGGCTTCCCGAATGCTGCTTCCAGGATAGCTCAAGTGTGCTGGGCCCTGCCTGACGTCAGGTCTGTTACACCCTTCCTCTACCTGAGCCCAAAGATGCCTGGCTCCTTCTACCAGACTGTAGACCTGCCTTCAAGATAATTACATACTACACGACACTCTGCATGCTAAGAGAAAGAACAGGGTCACAGGGTGAACCAGCTGGGGCGGAATTCAGCTAGGTCTCACATGCCACAGTCCTGCCAGCTCTCTCCATGGGAGCGGTATGTGCAGGGTCTGCTTTTGTCACCAGGTGATCAGACCCCCTTCCCAGATGAGGCCAGGAGACTTGCTTTCTAGGGGGGACAAGAGGCAGGCCTCTGCTTCTGAGTGTTGTGATTTGTCTTCTTGGTTCACCTAGGTGCCAGGACACTAAACGAGCGCTGTCCTGGAGTCTCCATTTGAGTGTTGGATCCGGCCTGCATTCGGCTTCTCAGCTCCTGCGTGCGTGTCCAGGATGGCTTCGCCGCTCCACTCCTTCTGGGAGAAATGAAGCACTCCCAGCGTTCTGTTGACTAAGTCTTTACTAATGGCTTTCTTCTTAAAATTTCTCAGCTTCTTTTTACCGTACTTAGGCATTATGAGCTTGCCACCCCCATGGGGAAGAACCCATGGCCTCCTTCATGTTACTGAGGTACATCTCAACACTTGGTTGTGTGTGTGTGTGTGTTTTTTTTTTTTTTTTGAAATGGTGTCTTACAAATTAACCCAGGCTGGACTCAAAGTTGCTATGTAGCCCAGGAGTTTCAAACTCTTCAGTCCTTCTGCCTCTGCCTTTTAGTGCTGGGTTACAGGCTTGTGCCATCACACCCGGCATCATGTGCTCCTGAGATTCACAAGTGGTGTCATCAACATTAAGACAACTTTGCCCACACTTTTAAACATGTGGACTACCTTGATCCACTCATAACAATTATTTAGGGAAAAAGCTCCTTTCGCATTACTATACTTAACACAATATTTTTCTGAGAGGATGTTTATTTTGGTATCGGATTTCATTTTGCCTAGGGCTGCACTAATACTGCAGAAATGTATTGTGTCCACCATCTCATATTAAGAAAAAGACATCTCATTATTAGGCCACGTATCCAGCACTGTTCCTTAACAAATGATGGGTTAGTGATGGGTACACATTAGCTTGCAATGTGTGTTTCAGAACCTTTAGCAAGCAGTGTATGCCTACAAGGCAGATGGTGGAGTGGGAAGGACCCAGAGGTGCTGACAGAAATACCCAGGTAGGGAAGGAATGGCCCCTTCAACACTATTCTCTAGCTGGCCGAGCTCCTTCCCAAGCCCCACCCTGTCCCCACACCCTCTTACAGCCATTCTTTGGACACACTAAAACAAAACCCCAATCCCGTCCTTTCTGAACGCCCCCTCATATCTTTGGCTCTCCATTCCCAGTTTCGGCTGTGGTCCAACACTTCTGCATGGGATGATGATTAACTCACATTACCAGAACATCTGGAACCCACTGCCTCTGCCCAGTGACTCAAAGCAGGACTCAGGCAAGTCATGGCTTCTGTGTTTCACTTCCTTATCTTAAACCAGTAAATGAAACACAATGAAACTGGTCCAGCACATCCTTTTACGCCCCTCGGAACAGAAACTCCAAGCTGTCCTGATCTTCCCAGGCAAGGTGATGAACAACCAAACTCATGTGTTGCTGCCGCCGCCTCCTGTTACCCAACTGGGCGGAGGGCCCTTGTACTAAGAGTGGTGGGAAGACCTAGGAGGCCACAGCTGGGGCTTGGCTCCTCAGTTTATTCCCCTAAGAGGCAATGAGAGGAAGGAGGGGTTTTCCAAGCTTCAAAGTTTCTGGCCTCAGAAAGTGACCAACAGCTTAAAAAAAAAAAAAAAGCCATGGCTAAGTAAACAAAAGTCACCTTCTTAGGGCCTCCAAGGAGAAAGCCTGAGTTTCAAGAGGCCCCCATGCTAGTCAGTGTATGGATCGAGGTTCCTGGAGGAGCTCAGAGCCATCTGTAGACTGTCAGAAGCGGGGGAAGCTTGTGTGTGGTCTGAGGGTCGGGACAGGAGCCCCATGGAGACACCGTGCACAGGAGGTGCCTTCCAGGGAGTGAGGAGCAGGTGCCCTTCAGAGACAAGTCAGACTAGCAACACAGTAAGTGCTCAGAGGTCAGACTCTCAGCAGAAAGCGAAGAGCTGAGTTTGTGGGAAACTTCTGAGAGAAGGAAGGCAGGGCTCAGGAGCAGACACCAATTTCCCATTCATCTCTTGGAATGAGCTGGAATCTCAACCCTTAGTTTTATTAGCATACAATTGCCCCAAAGGGGTTCCCATGATCTTGAGTCCACACCCAGATAAAGAGAGAATAAAACACACTCATGCATGCAAGCAGGCACATGCAGGCTCACATGTGTACACACACACACACACACACACACACACACACACACACACACACACTTCAGATGTCAGCACACATGCTTATACACATTCAAAAGTCAAAGTGCAGAGTGATGGAGGCAAGTGGGAGAGGCTCCCCGATAGGGCAGTAATTACAATCAAGGCATCAACTCACAGACTCTGAGGAGATTTTCTTCAGAAGCTCAGCCCCTGGGGTTCCAACGAGTCTTAAAATGAGTTTCAACTGATCAATATCTAATGGTGGACTATAAAGGAAAATGTCGGGACAAAATAAAAGTGGAAAAACAAAAACAATAATGAACAAAATAAAACAGAACAAACAAAACATCCAACAATGAAAATTAAACCCCCGAACAAGGCCAGTGTGGTGAAGGAGCCTAGGTGGACGGCTTCTCTCTTCAGACTGCACTTCCAGAACACGCTCCTCCTGAGCAAAGGGTCAAATGCCACCACACACACACACACCTGCCAGCGTCACACAGCAGAAGGAAAGCCACCGTGGTTGGGTTTTAGACAGCAGAGAAAGACAAACAGGCCTCGCGCGACACTCAATGCATGGGCCCAGCCTCCATATCACCTCACCTCCAAGGCACCAGCAGCCAGCTAAGCAGAGCGCGCTGGCAAGGAACAGCAGCAGAGCACACAGCTATGCAGTCTATTTGTGACTATTCCCCCAAGGCCTGACCTAATGAGTCTGCAATCTGACAGTTGGGAGGCCTGCTCTGATTGCAAAGCCTGCCCTCTGGAGACCGCCCTCCCCTCTCCACAAGGCAGAAACGGGGGACGGCCAGCCAGCAGAGGGCACAGAGTGGCATATGTCACTCAATTTGATTACACCAGGCTTCCACCTTATGAATGCAAAGGAATACAGAGGGTTAGCAAACGTCACACACTAAATGCTTTAAGCACTGAGGTAAAGGGCCCAGGACAGCCAGCCATTCTGGCATCCAGCACCTTGTTGTCCTCTCAGAACAAATGAGCATGTGCCCACCAGAAGACCAAACACCCCCCTTGCTCACTGCCTTTAGTCAGAGGGAAACAAAACAAAGCACCTTAAAAAAAGGCCTTTAATATTTTCTGTGAACATCTTACTAGGTTACTCCAATCTATGATGATGATCAGGAGGGAGAGGAGGTCACCTGACCCCACCGGGCTCTGCAGGCTGTATCCTTTCTCCATGTGCCAGCCTAAAATCCCCACTCAACCTTCTGAGACTACATATGAGCGTCCCTATCTCTTGAGCACTGTGTTTGGCGACACCATAGCTTACATTTGGGGACTGT